CCCCGCCGAAGCCCTCGTCGAAGCCTATCGGAGCTGTCGAGGCCTCGTCGAAGTCACCTCTGTCGAGGTAGTCGTACCCAGTGTAAGGACCATGAATTTTAATACTAGTTAAAATAATCTTTTAGTATTTTAAAATATTTAATTATTATTTTTAAAAGAGTATTTGTATTTTTCTTGATTTTCTAGAATTTTTTATGATTTAAAAGTCCAAATTTTATATTTACTTTGATGATTTTAATATTTATAAATTTATTTTGGACTGTAAAAATTTCTAGAATTTATTTGTTGTGTTACCGATACTATTACATATCATTTTGAATAATATGTGGTAATATTATTATTAATACATATATTTTCGTATAATACGTTGCATTATTATTTCATATTATTTTGTACAATTTGTTGTATTATTTCTACTGTTGTATATTATCGGTTGTATTAGTACAACTTCTATTATCGGTTGTATTAGTACTACCTTTAAAAGAGGGGGTTGTGGAAAAACTTTTCAATGACTATATTACCCTTTTTTATATTGCATTCTATTACTAAGTAAACTAAATTAATTGTTGTTGTTAATTAATTTTACTATATGTCATTTCAAGTTTGTATAATTTGGTCCCTAAAACTTCCAACATTATTACAAAACTCTACATCATATTATTTATTAGTAATTATAATAATATATTAATAGGCAATTGCATATTAATAAAGTATATATGGAAACAGTAGAAAAAACATAGAATTATCCTAAAGTTATACAATGACACTCATATAGGAAAATTACAAAGACATTCTTATATTTAGGTAACAGGACAGAAGGTACAAACATAAAATTTTAGAAAGCATTAAGATACTTAACTGTAGAAAGATACAAGTGGGGGTACATAAGTATAATTTTGGTAAACTATAAGTTATTTAAGTTTAGTTAAGCCTATAAAAAATTAAAATATTTGTTATCTACAAACAATAGTACATAATCCCATTGATAAATAATATTTATCATACAATATGAGGTCACATGCTTAGCTTATCTACTCCTCTATACTTAAAGGATGATCCAAATATTTACTGTTTATGCTACAGTGAATAATACATTAAATTACTATTCATGAACACCAAATCTTTAGGTCCTTTAAGTATGCAAAGTAAATTTACTATTCATGCTACAATAATTTACTATATCATAAATAGTACTCTTTTAATTATAGAGCAGTACATATGATTTTTAATTAATTTTAAGCATATAATAATCAATTCAAATGTATTAAACCTTAGAGGGAGATAGGTTCAAAATGCAATACTTAAAAGAAGCACCATATTTTGAATAAATCTTAAGATTTTGAATTATTTCCTGAAATTATATACTTCACTTAAAAAACTTTAGAATAAGCTTTCGAATGACTACTACAAGGTGGTGGATATGAGATAAATATTGAACAAATAAAAATCGGGAATATGTAAACAATACTAGGCGTCATATGAGATAATATTCATACATAACATATTAATAAATTTTAAATATAAAAATTTGCATTGAGATATATGCTAAGATTTTGGATAGCTGATAATGCAGAGATTTTGGAGAAGAATTGCAGCTTTTGTGGGTTTTGGGGGTTTCGATTTTGTTTCCCAAACATGATTCAAACCTGAGCCCACAATTAAATTAATATGACACGATTATTTCGATATCTTCAAAGGGACATATCAGTCATATTTTTTATAGCGGTTGATATATCAAAAAATTACCAAATAAAAGAAAACAATATAAAATTTTATCGAGATAATATCTTTAACCCGGTATATCGGCCGATATAGCAATATATCAACTGATGTTTAATACAATGCTTATACGAGCAAATATGTGAAAAATATTTAGATATTAGTTCCTTGATTTTAAGTATTCAATAATTCTATGTTATTCCCTCAAAATTTTAAAATTGCTCATAATTTGAAGGACTAATATTAAATTAGTAAAATTTTAAGGGAGAAATTATAAATAAGCCATATTTAAAAGAAGAGTTAATTTTTTAAAAACCGTCCTACGAAGATTGTGTCAAAAAAACCCACTCAACCGATTCAATTTAATAAAACCCCTTATTATAGGGATGTTATAAATAACCCCTCTCAATTTGGTGCTATTTTAGAAAACACCCCTCAACTATAGCGTGTCTCATAAAAACTCCTATAATCTTTTACACTTCTATCAATAGACTCCCTTAACATAGTTACTTCAATATATGATTTGGACAAAATACCCTCTTGAAGAAAGCTATTTTAGTTAAAAAGAAACGCTCAATCGGTAATAAAAGGACAACAACCAATTTACAATTCTTTTTTCACTCTATATGACCTCTTTTTCTTTTATATATCTAGCAAAAACCAAGGTAATTCTTTTATGGTTGAGAGATATTTTGATCTTGCAAGTTAAGTACTTGTTACATAATAGATAACACTCAATGATATTAGTTTTGAGAGATTAGGTTTAAGTTTAAAAAGTTCATACGGGTTAAATCAAAATTTTTAAATTGAGATAGATTACCTACAAAACACCCAAAACTTGATAGAAATTTACTCAGTTTTAAATAGTTTTTTTTGGGTTGGAGGGGTGGGGGATGTTGACATGCACCCCATACTTGAGGGGGAGTTTTCAAAATCAACCTTTAACCAAAAGCACAAGTTAAGAGATATGTGACATCAATTTTATAAGGGTGAAGTCTATAGCAAGACCATCACTCAATGAATTGATTGATGTTATTTGTCCTTAAATTTATCCTATACATCAACTCTGAAAATATTTTGCTATAAAAATCTCTAGGAGAAACTTATCTTTATTTGGGATGGGTATGTGATCCTTCTGATTCCCCTCGTCTCTTATGATTTATAATAAATAATTGAATAAAGTAAATTAAGTTATCATTTTATATTACTCATATTCTTATAAGTTTATGCAGCTCATAGCTCGGATATGAGTATTGTTGCGAAAATTGTATTCTTCTAATTCTTAACATATTTTTTTTGGATATTGTTTGACATTGGATGGATATGAATTATTGTGTTAAAATGCAATCAATATGAGTGCATATTATGTATAAATCATTCTCAAAGTATATTTTATAATTTTTAGAAAGTAGAGAGTTGACAGATAAATTAATAGTTGTTGAGATGTAAAAAGAGTACAATATCATATTTTGGAATTGATCACATAGTTTATGTTTTTATTCTTGATTGAATTTGCACATTCTAACTTAGAAAATTCTAGAAAAAAGTTCTTGAATATATATAATACTCGGTCGCCGGTTAAACAATACGTGGAAGTAAACAATAGGT